TCTTTCTTATGCAGATGTCGACCCGAAGTCTGTTGTTTGCGCCTTCTTCAAGAATGGCATGTGCCATAAGGGAGCCAAATGCAAATTCAGCCATGATTTGGCCGTCGAACAGAAGACACAGAAGAAGAATCTATACGTAGATAGCCGAGAACTCAAACAAGAAGAAGGTAAAAAAACTCTTTTTACAATTATTGTTTGGGCCATTTTTAATGAACTTTTTCTCGATCTTTAACTCCTTCTCATTGTTTAGATAATATGGAGAATTGGGACGAAACAAAATTGAGTGAAGTTGTAAACAAAAAGCACGGAGAGGCGAATAAGAAATTGAATCAAACAACTATAGTGAGTTTGTAAAATTCTGGCTGCTCACACATATACTAACGCTATGTGCTTTTTGTTCTTAGGTCTGTAAATACTTCCTTCAAGCAGTTGAAGAAAACAAGTACGGGTGGTTTTGGGAGTGCCCAAATGGTGGCGACAAATGCATCTACCGGCATTGTTTGCCTGAGGGGTAAGCTTTTGGTTTGCTGAGGTTACTCTATGTTATTGTTTCTGCAAACTGCATTTGCAGATACGTTTTGAAAAAGGATCGGAAGAAGATGGAGGAGCAAGATAAAGAAAATCAAATTAGCTTAGAAGAGTTGATTGAGAAAGAGGTATCGTGCATTCGTCGTTTCGCTGTCAAGAATGTCAGAATATTTTGTTCTTCAGTGTTTTTTTTTTGTGCATCACATATTCACATATTGACCACAATCAATTTCTCCTTCGTATTCAAACTCTTTCTCAGCGAGGACGCAGTGTTATAGTTCGTGCTGCACATTTATTGTTTTACTTTCAGAGAGCAGCATTGCAAGGGAAAAATCTTACCAAAGTCACTCTTCAATCCTTTGTTGCTTGGAAGAAACGAAAGTTGCGAGAAAAGAAACAAAAAGAAGAGGAAGAGGAGAAGGCGAAGAAAGACAAAATCAAAGCCGGCAGAGCGGTCAGTCAGCTGTTTTGTTCATTTACAAAAATACCTTTTTCATCTCCAGGTTGTTATTTTTTTACTTCGTTCTACTTACAATATGAGCCTGCATCTTGTTATACTAATTAGCATAATTTTTATTCACTGGGGGTGT